TATTTTTAAATTTATATTTCATTAAAAAATAAAAACATTATTGTTTTCTCAAAACCACATAAAATCATATTATATCGATAAGGAATAATAAAAACTAAACATTAAAATAAAGATTTATCTTACTGCATTACGCGAATATTCTTCCAGTGTATTTGAAAGTATTTGTCAGATAATTTTGTAAAGTTCAACCATGAAATTTAAATAATGTAAACATTTGATAAACTTAAGCTTAAAAATATTATACATTAATAAAAAAATTCTAGTATTAATTGTTTTTACTGAAAATGATATTATTGAGATGGATAATTAGCGAATCTCCAATAAATTTTCAAAAATATGTTTAAAATTGCAGACAAATAATTAAAATCTTTAAAAAAATTATATTCAACTCCAACAATTTATTTATTTTGGAGATTACAATATCTATACTATATTATAAAGTATTTGACAAAAACTCTTAAAAAATATTTTTATGCATGAAGTACTGTATATTGATATATATTACTTAAAATTCAAAATTACAAGTAAATTATGCATAAGTACAACTATTAAAGCTCCATGTTTGAATTTGTGTAACTAATTAAGGATAAACATGATCACATAGAAGATAAACATCTCATTTTAAAATATAAAAAATCTAAAATATAATTAGGATAATTATCGAGTTCTAACAAAATAATTAATTATTATCTTTATAAGAAAATTATGTTATTAAACCAAATATAAATTACTTCATTATTGAACCTAAATTGAATTATAATAGAAAATTTGAATTAAAAAATTACACAAAAAATAAAAATTTTAAATAGTTAATTTGATACTAATATCGATATATTTTTGTCAAATTTTATGATATTTTCAAATTTATATTTTATTCAAACATAAAAACAGCATCGCTTTTTCAAAATCACATAAGACCATATTATAACATCGACTTAGATAAAGAATAAAATGAAATATTAAAATCAAGATTTATCTCGCTGCATTGCGCGAGTACCCTT